TCCAAATTTCAAAATCACAGAACTAGTACGAATCTCTGTTATACCACCAGTGCAACAACACTTTACTAGACATACACAACCAAAGCACCTTCAGAGCCCATGAAAGACAAGACATCCATCTTTCTCAGGAAACTTAGACCCTAACTGAATATTTTCCATTTAAAAAGAAGTTTGTCACCATCTTTCTAAGTTATTAGTATCAGAAGCCATATAATAAATATATTTATTATATTTATGTTTTCCATGATTGTTTACCACTGTTTACCATGACTAGTTTACCATAACTAGTTTGTCTATCTTAGGACAAACATCCATCATTCAAGGAACATACGACATTTACAGGCAGGTACTTGTACATGTCCACTGTTTCCAACCAACAGCTCTGGGACGGGGCTGAAAAACAAGAGTTCTGAGGGCAGGGCAGGGAGACAGGTCACCACATCTGCCAGGCCACAACACCCTCTGCTCAAAAACAGGCTACAGAATGAGTGGCAAGTATTTTTTTTTTTCTTCGAAAGTCAACGCCACCTTCTGTGCATTCGATGGAGGCTGTTAACACGGCTCGTGAAAATCTCTGTTGCACGTGCCTGGCCTTCAGAAGCTGGGGTTAGTTTAAGACCTGCTGACTCATCAGATGTCCACCACGTGATCTGGCATTCCATGATCTGGCGTTCCATCGCTGCCACCTGTGGCCCAGTCACAAGCTCCGTCTCCTCCAGGATCAAGGGCTGCGCAACACAACTGAGATTCTGTGGCACAGACACCACCACTCCGAAGTGTCTAGCCACCTAAGGCAGACTGACAAGGTCTTCATTTCTGTGACCTACTTTCTCAAACTGCGGGTCATGACCCCATGCAGAGGGGCATGCAAGATTTTTACAAATGTGCCTTAAGATAAATTTATGATTTAGTACCAGAGCTAACATCTTATGCAGACCCATACCTATTACATCTACATATCCATGTGAAAGTCATGTGAAAGTTACTCAAGAGTTACTCAAGAGTTTAAGCAGCCCTGATCCACAAGACAGATTTTATTCTCTTCACTCCCACCTTAAAATGAGAAGAGAATTTTGAAGTGCTGCGACTTCAAAGTAGGAAAAGAATGGTTCTCCTTAAGCAGCGTGGCTCCACATCTCCCACTTCAACCACTTTGCTTACCACTTTTTTGTCAATTGTACAATCATCAAATCCAAGGTGAATTAATCACTTATAAATCCCAACAATTCTGTCCATGCTTTGCCGTGAATAAGCCAGAAGCCCCGATCTCACGGCTGCATAAGTCTATTTGTGATCTGCACCCCCTGTAATGTTCACTGTCTCCACAAGCCCTGAATTCTGATAGTGTTCAAAACATCCACTTCTACCGAGAGCCTCAGCAGACTATCTGGCACATGTTTAAGTAAAAAGCTCCATAAATCATCTATCCTTGTGTGTAAAATAGACCCTCCATTTAACAATGCCCTTAGGAAATTTGAGTTGAAGATTCAAAGCGATTTTTCCACAAACAGAACACTAGTTAGAACACTAGGTGGGGGCTCCCAAACCATAAGCATCGAAGAAAAGAGCATTGTGAAAAGAACTGGTCATTTCAAAGGCATTTACCACTATTACTCTGACATCATTTCTCACAGTATAGTATTGTAGAAGGCATGTCATGTGGCCTTGAAGGAGTAACTGAACGGTAAATACTGACAACCCCCCAGAAGGAGTTTGATTTTCTGAAGAAAAAAATCACATTCTCCAGAGGATGTTTTCCAACAGATTTGCTGAACATGCACTCATTAATCCTCGTTAAAAGGGGAGTAAACTTGAAAATACCCCCTCCCCCCCCCCAAAAAAAACCAGTCTTCCAGGAGTAAAAGCAAAGTACTTCTTAAAACAATTTTTTAATTGTGATTGTGATTAGTGTTATATACAAATTAAGCTTCAAAGGGCAGATTATTTTCAGGCATTCCCATACCTTCTTTTATGTCTATATTTCAGGCCATATACATGAAAACCAAGCAACCTGAATGGACTCCAAGTTTGGGTGGAGAAAAAAACAATAGTATCAAATGTAATGGGCAGGGAGACATTTTATTTTTTTAATTTGTTGTATTTCCATCCCAGACACTAACAAATAAGAAACACTCAAACTTATGCTTTGAGTATAGTATATAAAACATTTCATCTTTAAAATAACATATGAAATAAAATATGCAAATACTAGTAACATTCTGAAAGAATCACTGCTCCTAAGAAGACATTTTAAGTCTACTTAAAAGCACTGCAGCTACAGGCAAGTATTATTTATACAACATACATAGCTATGTATGTTAAAGGCAGTGGTAAGCAAAAAGGGGCATGAACATTCCAGAATTTGTAAGTGCCTCTGTATCTGTATCTTAAGGCTAAGTGTCCTTCTTAAATAAAGTGAAATTGTAACTATGCAAGTCTTAATATTTTCAACCAATGAATCACTTTGCGACTTTGCATCTCACTTTAGACTTGATCTTATATCCCCCCCAGCCTCTAATATCCCCCTTCCAAAAAGAAAAATAATTATAATTATTAATCTCTAGTCCCAAACTTAGAAAAACAAAAACAGGTTTATACAAACTCAAAATGTCCAGGTCTGACAGTACAGCAGGTAAGTGCTTGCCTTGCATGAGGCCAACCTGGGTTCCAGCACGAGCATGGCATATATATGGTTCCCTGAGCACTGCCAGGAGTGCAGACACAGGAGCAAGCCCTGAAGCAGAACTGGGTATGTGGCCCAAAAAGCCCAGAAACACCAAAACGATGCAAAATCTTTAATTACTATTGATAATAGTCTTTAGAGTACCCATAACATCCCCTAACACACAGACACACACTCCACAAGTTCCATTCCTAAACTTTGTGAACAACGAAGACTGGAATGCTTTGAACAAGCGCTAACTTTAAAGCAAGAGGTAACCATCAAGAGTAGAACTGTAAAAGAATGAAACAAATATATATGGTCCACATTCTGCTTGCTCATGTTTCTAGCACCTGAAACTAATCCCTGTGAAAAGCTAGGCCCCTCCCCCACCCACTGCAAACCAAGAGGAAGATTCCAGTGGTGTCCTCGTGAAATCTCCATGAACCAAAAAATAAAAATAAAATAAAATTAAAAAAAAACCCTAAGTTCACTTTCTGACGCATCCTAACATAACAGAACCCGTGAGCCAGAAACCCAAAACACAAGTGACAGAGTAACACACATCTGGGCTTCCAACCAGGTTGAGGAGGTTACTGCAAGCGGCAACATTTCCTCTCCCTGTCAGCCACAAATCAGGTCCCAGCTTGCTTAAAGCCCACTTGAGCGCTCCTTGGCCACTTGCTACCATGCGGGGCTGCACGTCCCGCCACAGCAGAGCGGGCAAGGACCCTGGGGCCCTCTTGAGCCCTCTTAAAGCGCGGCTCCGGGGCCTTTTATAGTGGAAGCATGTGATGAGTAGATCTGCACCAGCTGTTCCTCATTACCTCCCAGGCTGGGGGGGAATGACTCAGCAACCCAACTTTTCTAAGGAGTCACCCTACCTTTAACCAACCAGCTGGAACAATGGAAGACCCACTTGACTGTGCCATGGGTTAAACAACACTCGAAGATGCAATCACCAACCGCGAGTCATCGGACCCCAAGCTGACTCACCAGGAGCCCTCTCCAGAGGCTTCCTGAACCTCAGGGCAGAAGTGGCAAGTGCCTACAAAGCCCAGCCCAGCCCCTTGCCACCAACTACCAAGGCCTAGAAGTGCGCTCGGGCCAACCTCTTCCTACTTCTGCGGGACCCGGGAAGCGCCCAAGAGCCAGACTGGAGTCCCCGGGGCCCTTTTGCAACCCTACGGCGGGGAGGCCTCACTTGCAAAACCTCAGGGCTGTCCGGGGAGGCGTGGATATAGACACACGCGACACCAGAACAATAGCATCGCAGTGGCATCTCGTCTGGATTAGCTGCCTCAAGCCCGATTAAGGTTCTGCTTTCGAGATCGGGGTCGAAGCGCCGGTCCTCGTGGCGTGGCACCGTGGCTCGTCCCCACCCCCGACACACACACCCAAGGGCAAGCGCGCGGGTCATCCCCAGTCACTACGACGCTCCACCTAGGCGCCGCGCGCCCTCCAAGCATCAGACTGCCGGGGCACAATAGCCATCTCCCCACCAGCACTTCTTTCCTCCTCTGTCCCCACGACCTGCAAAACGTCCGGGCACCAGGGCGAAGGCCAAACAGACATACGCGGGCCGGCCCCCGAGTAGGGGATTGGGGGTGGGAGGGGGGTCCCTGCTCAGCGCCCCGACTCTCCCCGCCACTGGGGGTGCGGAGTCTCGGGGACGGCTGAGCTACAAACTCCCAACAAAGGAAAGCCCGAGAGCTCCCAGGACCGGCCCCGCCAAGGTACGGCGTGCGCCCCCCGGCCACGCAACTTGCCCTCTCCACTCCCCCCGACCCCCGCACCCCCAAGGCGCAGACGGACCCGTTGGTCAGGGGAGCGGCGGCCGCGCGGACAATCCAAAGGGGGAGCAGGGGTGGGAGTATGGCAAGGGGGGGTGGCCTCGCCGACGAACGGGGGCCACTGAGAGGTCACCGGCCCGGGCTGGGTGCGGGGGTGGCGGGACCCGGAGCGGGTGCGAAGGCCGGAGCGGCCGCCAGGCACCTCCCAGCCCGCCGGGCCGCGGGCGCGCGGGGTAAAGTACAGCGCGGGCCGGTAAACAACAGCGCGGGCCGCGCGCACCGCTCGCCCCTTCCGGCGGACGCGGCCACTTCCAGGAACGGGGAGCGCAGCCGCCCGCCGCCAGCCCGGGCGCGGAGCTTCCCCGCCGGCCCCGCGCCCAGGCCGCCGCTGCCGCCGCCGCTGCGGGGGGTCCCCCGCGGCCGGACCCGCCCCCCCAATCCCAGGCCCGCGCGGCCGCCCATCCCCCCGAGCGAGCGCGCGCGCGCGCGCCGTCCCGCCAACCCGCGAGCCGGGCCGGGGCTGCCCGAACGGCCGAGCCACTCACCGGAGCCCAGGCGCGAGGCGGCCCGACTGACGGCAGCCAGCGAGCCTGACGGGCGGCGCGGGCAGCGGTCAGGTGACTCACTCCCTCCCCGCCGCCGGCCGCCCTCGCCCCGCCGCAGCCCCGCCGCCGCGGCCGCCGCCGCCGCCTCCCCGCGCCGGAGCTCCGCCCCCTCCCGCGAGGCCCCGCCCCCTCCCCGAGAAACCCCGCCCTCGTCTGCTCAACCCCGCTACACCGCCCCTTCACGAGGCACCGCCCAGTGCCGGGGCTCCGCCCTTTCCATCGAGGCCCCGCCTTCTAATCTCGAAGCCCCGCCCCCTTGCAGCCCAACCTCTCTCCGCCCCTTCTCGAGGCCCCGCCCCCGCCGCCCGCGAGGCCTCGAGGCGCAGTCGGCAGCGGGATCCCCGCGCGGGTGGCGGCGGCGGCGGCTGCGGGCCAAACCCACGCGAGAAGATGAGAGGTGGAACCGCGCGGGCTTCCGGGGGACGACCTGAGGCTCACGAACGGCTTCTGCGCGTGCGGCATCTTCGACCGAGCACCGCCTGCTGCCTGCCGACACGACATTCGAGGCCCCTAGAGGACCCACGGGCGCTTCTGCTCCCGGGGGCGGAAAGGGAAAGGCCTTCAAGCCGCCCCGGGCCCCCAGCCTTGCCCGAGACACCCGGAATCCTGCAGAGGCGGGAGCCCCACCCGACTCAGCAAATCACAGCCAGGTGGACCAGGGCCGCTCTCAGGTTTCCCCACACACGGGGTCCTGTGGGGGTCGTTCCTGTGAGGGTCGTTCGTGAAGACCCCTGAGATTTCGTACCTCCTCAGCCTTCTCTTTAGGGGGGGCCGGGCACCCGAGTTTGCAGGTGAAGCGGCAGGAAGTAGGTGTAGGGCTTTGTAGATAGTCGCTGGCCGTCCTACCTCAGAGTGGAAACACATCAGTTGACAGGGGTCCCCTTTACGCTGTGACTACCAGGACATTTGGGCCCGAGCGTTCCGGAGCGGGGGGGGGGGGGGGGGGGGGGGGCGAGGGAGGGGTTCTGACTGCAAACTCTTCCCCCAGCCCAGGTCAGGCTTGCATCCTGGGGTGTTTATTCTGGTGTTTATTCAGATTTGTCCGGTTTTTAAATTAGATTCCCAAGGCAGTAAGCACCTCTAGAAATCAAAACTCTAGTTCTCTCTCTCTCTCTCTCTCTCTCTCTCTCTCTCTGCCCCCTTCTCTCTTGCCCCCTTCCCGCCCCCAGCTCTGCTGTACTTTTCCGTCTAAAGGAAGAGTGGGCTACAATGGGGTTATGCCCCCAATCAGAATGGGTTTTGAATGGTGTGTGGGAAAGGGCTCTGCTATTGATCCTTGAGTTCTGGTGCAGAAAAAAGGTGACTGTGGGTTTGATGACAGTAGCCGCATGAGCCCTGGAAGACAACTCCAAGGGCAAAAGCCAAAAAGAGCCCACCGCCTACCTCATAAATAACATCAGGTATTTCCTCTTTTGTGACTGTGTGTATGTGCACTCCTAAGTTGTGGGACATAAGGACACTTGTTCAACATATAGAGAGAAATGACGTGGGTGAAATTGTAAGGAAGTGGGTGCAAGTGATGACTCATGAAAAAGTACAATCAGGAAGGGAAGTAGTATCTGGGAAGAATGAAGCCCCCAAGGCACACAGAGGAAAGAGAAAATGCAACAGAGCCAGGATTATAATGGCTATTCCAGGAATTCAGGTTCATGGTGGGGGTATAAATATTTAGTGAAATATGTGGAAAAGACTATTGGGAATAGATCGTGAAAGAATTGGGGTTCTTACCTACTAGAGCATGGTTTCAAGGCTTCTCTTTCCTTCCACATAAACCTCTAGAATGACATCCTAACGACATTATTTCTTCCACGTCTTTGCAGTGTCTTTGGTGCTTTGTTAAAACACATCTCTGGGCTGACTCCAAAGATTCTTATTTCATAGAGCTGAGTAGGACCCAAAGGTCTTCATTCTTAATAGTGATGCAAATAGTCTTCAGACCACACCCAAAAGTACTGTGTTAGAGCATATAGGAGAGGCAGAGTGAAAAAATAAAACCGAAATTAGAAAATGAAATAAACCAAGTTAGAATGGGAAGGACTCATGCACTGCACATAGAGTTTGGACTTTATCCCATAGACCAAAGGTAGTGTGAAAAGATACTTAAGTCATGTGATTGTTTTTCAGAAGCCAGTTCTAGGAAACATCATTCACTGCATTTCTGTTTTCTTAATTCTTTTTTTCTCTAAATATTCATTCACTAGTTGTTAAAAATGTGAGGGATGACCAAGATAGTATAAACATGTTGGGGGCAGAAATCTAGTACAGGGGTTAAGACACTTGTGCATTGCGAGAACCAAATATTTATATATATATATATATACATACACATGTATATACATACACATGTATATACATACACATATATACATACACATATATACATACACATATATATACATACATATATATACATATGTATGTATATATATATACATACATACATACCTGTTCGGGCGCTAGCATTTTGGGCTAGAGCGATAGCACAGCGGTAGGGCGTTTGCCTTGCACACAGCCAATATGGCCGACCCGAGTTTGATTCCTCCGCCCCTCTCGGAGAGCCCGGCAAGCTACCGAGAGTATCTCGCCCACACGGCAGAGCCTGGCAAGCCACCCGTGATGTATTCAATATGCCAAACACAGTAACAACAAAATCTCCAATGGAGATGTTACTGGGCCCGCTCGAGCAAATCGATGAAAAATGGGAGGGCCTTTACCTTTACCTTTTACATACACATGCACACACACACACACACACACATACACACACACTGGTTTCACTAACATGGAAAACTGCCAGTTGACTTTTTCCAGAAGTGATTATGGATTAAAACTACCAAAACTATCTCCAGTGGGAAGAATTTTGCTGAAGATAAATCTATACTACAGTGGGTAGGGCTTTTGCCTTGCACGCAGCCGACCTAGGTTCGATTTCCAACATCCCATATGATCCCCCGAGCACCACCAGGAGTAATTCCTGAGTGCATGAACCAGGAGTAACTCCTGTGCATCGCTGGGCGTGACCCAAAAAGCAAAAAAAATAAATAAATAAAATAAAATAAAGGAAGCAGTTGGAGGGGAGAGAATAGTAACGAGTCTTGAGAGATTGACAGAGCTCAGAGCATGAAGGTTTTGGGGGCTGGAGCGATAGCACAGCGGTAGGGCGTTTGCCTTACAAGCGACCAACATGGCCAACTCAAATTCAATTCCTCCGCCCCTCTCGGAGAGCCTGACAAGCTACCGAGAGTATCTCGCCCACACGGCAGAGCCTGGCAAGCTACCCATGACGTATTCGATATGCCAAACACAGTAACAACAAGTCTCATGATGGAGACGTTACTGGGCCCACTCGAGCAAATCGATGAACAACAGGAGGACCGTGACTACACCGTGAATCTATACTATCACTATCACTATCCTCCCGTTGTTCATTGATTTGCTCGAGCAGGCCCAGTAACATTGTGAAACTTGTTACTGTTTTTGGCATATCGAATACATCACGGGGAGCTTGCCAGGCTTTGCCGTGTGGGTGAGATACTCTTGGTAGCTTGCCGGGCTCTCCGAGAGGGCCGGCCATGTTGGCTGTATGCAAGGCAAATGCCCTACCCGCTGTGCTATTGTTCCAGCCCAAATCTATTTATTAATGAGAGTAAATACTTCCTGGAACATAGAGGACATGCATGAAGTCCCCTAATGCTTATCTAATATCTGAAGTGAAAGATGAAAATACTGTATTCTCTAGTCTGAGAGGTAGACAAAGTCTAAGATCTGGAAAAGAAAATAAAACAAAAAAGAAGAGAAGAAACAAGGCAATACTGGAGCATAAGAAATCAATGGATCAAGAATCAAATTAGTTACAGAAGTGCTATTTGCACAGAAGATTTCTTGATAACTGAAACATAATTATAGGATTCAAGTATAAAAAAATTATGCGCCTTCAAAAAACCAGCTAGAGGCTGCATTGAAATAACAACCAGAAAAATTTTCCTACTCTCCCCATTGAAAAAGGTGCTTATTTACCTTGTACATTTTCCTTGAAATTCGGTGGACCTGTCATTCTAAGAGAACACTGCACAAGTGATTCTTGTTTATGTTGGATTTGCGAGAAGACTGATAATTTCCAATTATTTTTTTAGATGTTCACTATTGTGACAGTCCTTTCAAGAAAAATTCACTGTCCTATGAAAAGTCCAGTGTGGAACACATGAAATGGGCTTTCCAGTGATGGCCCTGACAAAGCAATCAGCCAATAGTCAGCCACACATGAGTCATGTGAGAGAGTCATCTTGGGTGATCTGATCTATAGAAGAACCTTCCTGTCAATTTATGACTGGTTCTAAGACCCTAAATTTTGGGATGATTTTATTAAAGAAAACATCTGCTAGACAAGACAATGGAATTATATTTGTAAGAAGAATCACAAGAGAACTCAGAAGAAAGTTCAGATAAAACAATACATAAAAGAGGCATTTGTTTTAAGCTTGTGTCTAGAGCGCCTAATCAGATGACGTGAGATTTTCTGCAATGCCATATTAGTTGTGCCCCAAATTTTCCCCACTCTATTGCGTATGTTTTATACAGTGAAGTTGAGAATATGGCATTTTCTCAGAGCTAATGCTGAAAATTATACTTCTGTCATAAACCTGACAGATTTCTAGCCTGGTGTAATTAATCCCTACAGTCCTGAGAAGTTTAAATGTATTCATCTTGAACCTGTGATGTTTATACTTGGTGCTGAGTCACAAGTATACATATCAAGTCCTCAGCCACTGCCATATGATTGCAAAGGACAGATGAAAAGTGCACCTTGACAGCTTTGTTATTCAAGTTATTTTTGCACGGGCATTATAGACTGCAACACATAATTTTTTTAAAGATTTATTACAGGTATTAAATTCTAGAGTATATTTCAATAAATCTGTTGTAAAACAAAGTGGGGAGAGAGTGTAAAATTGATAAAAACCAGCGAAGGTGTCAGAACACTTTTACTAACCCCGTGCCATATCCCACTTCACTTTCTTAAAGCACTGGTTCTCAGGAGAAGACAATTTTGCACTATAGGACATGCCAATATTGATAGTGT